CTATTTATAGTAGAGGATGCAGCCTGTCAAGCCTGTAAGTTGCATAAGGCTGCAGTTATTGTTTGTTGCCCATATTGATTTTAAGAATTGGAGAAATTTCATATGAAAACGTGGATTACTGGTTTTGTTGGAAAATACGTATTAGAGATCTGGGAAAACTGGGCTGGCAAACCCGCTGGACCTTAACCACCTAGAACTTAGTGGGTGGCCATACCCTTTGAATGGGTCATTTGTATCATCTGTTGTAATGCTACTAAAAGTGTGGTCATTGAACTGGCTGCTCAACCATGAACTATTTGTTACTGTTTGCAAAATTAAGGACTTTGTGTCATATGTTAAGTTCAACTGATATTTCTTTGGTTGCATGACTTTCTTCAGTGTGTTGATTTACATTCTGGCACAATCTCCTTATCTTGTCAGGGACTGGCATTCGAAGTAGTACCAGTAGCTTTTCCTTGTAAATATTTGAGTTTGCAACTGCTGATTTTCACAATTTTTTTGAAATGCCAGTGCATCATAACATTCAGAAGTTGTAAGGCAATAATTATGTTAATATGTACTGCTCTTAGGTAATATTGTTCAAGTTTAATTTACAAGGTATCTAGGTTCAGTTTCTTTAATAGATTTTCTGAAATTTTACATTTGAGATTTTAAGACTTTTGAACATAGACATTATATTGAGATATTTTCCTCTTGTGTGTTTAGCAACGAAGTTTAGTAATAGATTGGGCTACTACTGTAGAATAGAGGACATGAATATATTTGAATGGATGCCTTGGTGTGGTACTCAGATGTGACCTTCTTTCTTTCTATGTGTAAAAATTGACTTTCATTCCTGTGTCATTGAAGGAAATGGAGTTGGCCCATCTTTCTCACTCACTCGACTGATATCACAGGAATAAAATACAATATTCTTGTTAGAATTAAAACTAAAGTTTTTATAGATTTTATGCCTTTTAATTGCTCCATCATTTATCTTGTTGATCCTGAGTTTGTACTGCTTTTAACTGAACATGAAATACAAAGGTAGTACGAGTCTTTTTTTTTTTAAATGTGAAAATTGTTTGAGGCAATTGCTGTGCGATTGAGTGGAGCAGGAATGTGTTCATGGCTGCTTGCCCATGGATCAACTCCTTTACCAGCCCCACAAATGACAGAATTAATATGTATCTACTTTTGATGTGTAAGAATAGACTTAATATCCCTTTACACAGACTTAATATATTTTAATGAGACTTTTTATTGTTAGTATATATTCATACAGTAAACTTGCACTTCCACTGTTCTATAGAAATTGTTCTTTAAAAGATCACTAGTCCCCACCTAAATGTAAAGTCAGTTGCTTTTAAAAGTTATTATTCTCCCAACCTCTATCCAGCATTTTGTATTTTTGACCAATCCTGCACAGTTGCATCTTCTCATTTAATCCTTCTTTTATAATATTTAAGGTTGTCTGTTTTAAAATGATTCTTCTTTTCTTTTTTATTTGTAGTTGTCTGATGTACCTTTATTTAAGTTTTTTTTTTTTTTTTTTTTTTGAGACAGAGTCTGGCTCTGTTGCCCTGGCTAGAGTGCCGTGGCGTCAGCCTAGCTCACAGCAACCTCAAACTCCTGGGCTCAAGCGATCCTCCTGCCTCAGCCTCCCGAGTAGCTGGGACTACGGGCATGCGCCACCATGCCCAGCTAATTTTTTCTATATATTTTTAGTTGTCTGATTAATTTCTTTCTATTTTTAGTAGAGACGGGATCTCGCTCTTGCTCAGGCTGGTTTCGAACTCCTGAGCTCAAACAATCTGCCCGCCTCGGCATCCCAGAGAGCTAGGATTACAGGCGTGAGCCACTGCGCCCGGCCAGGAAATACTTTGAGACTATGTAAATATCCTATTTCTCATCCTATTTTTACCTACTATTTTTAGCATCCATTGATGATTCTTAATTGAAACAATTATTAGCATAGTGATTGCCAAATGTAATTTTCTAACTGCATTACTTCTACATTTATCGTCATTTTATTCCAAGTAAAAGCTATCCCTTCCCTCCATTTATCTATTTATATAAATATGGATTCATGTATTCTTTTATTCTATGGGCTATAATCCCCTTGTTAGCATTTTTCATTCACATTGACCCAGATTTGCCCAGTGGGAGCCCCTTCAAGCAGACTCCAGTGTACTTTTTACTTGTCCCTGTCTTCCTTTGAGTGCATTCTGTTTTCTTATATAATAAAATGTTTTATGTCTATCTTGTACTTTCCCTACTCCAAACCTGTAATAGCCATTTGTCCAAGGATCTCTGATTCCTTTTAATGGGGAGTGGTACTTACAAACCAAGGTCTAGGTCACTGGGTATGCTCATTGCTGTGGGAGTGTCATTGCTTCTAGGCTCTTATCTCTTGAGATTCCTTGATAGCCATCATCTTTCTGTTTGCTGTAGATTATATTAAAGTTACATTCTTAATCCCTTCCATATTTTCCCCCTATAAATTAGTATCCTGAAGCATTCTTTTTTTTTTTTTTTTGAGGCAGAGTCTCACTCTTTTGCCCGGGCTAGAGTGAGTGCCGTGGCGTCAGCCTAGCTCACAGCAACCTCACACTCCTGGGCTCAAGCGATCCTTCTGCCTCAGCCTCCCGAGTAGCTGGGACTACAGGCATGTGCCACCATGCCCGGCTAATTTTTTCTATATATTTTTAGTTGTCCGATTAATTTCTTTCTATTTTTAATAGAGACGGGGTCTCGCTCTTGCTCAGGCTGGTTTCGAACTCCTGAGCTCAAACAATCCACCCGCCTCGGCCTCCCAGAGTGCTAGGATTACAGGCATGAGCCACCGCGCCTGGCCCTGAAGCATTCTTAAAGGTCACAGGAAATAGTTATATTCAGGTATAGAGTATAATTTTTATATAGATAACAACAAATCTATTAATATATTCATTAAATCTAATCCTATCTATCATTACTCTTTTCACAAGTTTTTTTACTATGACAGTTGTGTTTTTCTAAATGGTTTTTTTATTAAAGAGTAAGTCATGTCATATAATTACTGGTTGTCTGTTCTTCAGTATGTATTCAATTATGTTACTGTATGTTTGGCATACTATAACAGAAGAAAAAAGAATTTGTTATCTGGTCAAACTGGAGGATAATAGAAATGTTTACTGTTGCTTTGGTTATTCTGTTTTCAGTAACTGTTTCAACTGCTTTTGTGTCTATAATTTGATCTATATATATTTAAGTGACTATCATTGTACTAGTTTATAGTGTTCCTCACAGAGTCACAAAATTCTAGCTAGAAAGACCCTGTTATGTCTAATCCCTTAAGTTTTATAGATGGGAAAACTGAGATCTAAGAGTTGAGAAGACTTGCCTAAGTCCATGGCTAATTGATTGCAGAGCCAAGATTAGAATCCAGTACTCCTGACTTCCACACTAGAATATTTTTGCTGTAGGTGATGGAGGGAGCTTGGGTTGATGGTACCTGCTTGAAGCTTCCATGGTTGCTAGGTAGATACAGCATTCTTGACACTCAAACATGCAGATGGGCATTGAGTTTTTCAAATGGTTGGTCATTTGATGACCAGGAAGGGAGCACTAAAGAAGATGGTGCAGATCAGAAGTTGTTTTTAAGGATGACAGCTATCTGACCATACAATTTAAGGCCAGAATTCTAAGCAGATAATTTCAAAACTCTTCCTACCGTACAATCCCATCTATCAGCTTTCTGCTCTCCCTTCAAAACACCCTGTTTATAGATAAGGTTTGTTGGTATTCTTTTTTTAATATTTTCTGTTTAGCAGTATTTTAACATCAAAATAGCTATATTGGCACAAGTTGCTTAAAAAGTTAAACAAATATATATCATATGATCCATTCCTAGATGTCTACCCAAGAGAAGTAAAAACATATGTCCATACAAAGACTTGTATGTGAAATGTTCATAGCAACATTGTTTATGATAGCCAAAAAGTAGAAACAATCCAGATGTTCAACTGGTGAATGGATAAACAAAATGTGGTTATCTGTATGATGGAATATTATTCAGCCGTTGGAAGGAATGAAGTACTGGTACATGTTACAACATGCATGAACTTCACAAATACTGTGTTAAGTGAAAGACTCCAGACACAAAAGACCACATAGTATATGATTTCAATTATATGAAATGTCCAGAAAGTACAAATCTATAGAGACAGAAGGTATATTAGTGGTTGCCTGAGGCTGAGGTTGGAATTGAGGAATGATTTGCCGTTGGGCATGTGGTTTCTTTTTGGGGATGATGGGAATGTTCTAAAATTGGGTTGTGGTGATGGTTGCACAACTCTGTTAATATACTAAAAACTATTCATTTGTACACTTACAGGTGAATTTTATAGTGTATAAATTATACTTCACAAAACTTAAGTTCCATTGTGTAAATTTAGTGTCTGTAGTATTTGTTATATTTAAGTATCTTATCCTATTTTCACTGTTAAACATTTTATACTACTTTATTTCCACTTTTAAGTATGATTTTCAAAAAATGCTAATGCCAAATGATGTTAATGGTAATAGTAAAAAATGGCCAGCATTTGTAAAATAGTTCCTGTGTACCGGACATTATGCTCAATACTTTTCATAGGTTATCTCATAGCAGTGCTGTGATATTGATACTATTACCCTCGTTTTACAGTTGAGGAGACAGTCTCATATAGGTAAATAACTTGTCCAAACTGACATAGCTAAGTAAGGGGACAATCAGGAATTTGAACAGAGGCACTATTAATCTGTATGCTTCATGTATGGATATGCAGTGTTTTGGGTAGAGAATTGTACTGCATTTCAAATGCTGTGACTATTAAAAGCCATGTGTATATGCATGCCACTATGCTGAATGCTCTATGTGACTATTTATGGGTGATCTTTCTAGGAAATTCAAATGGGCATTTGGTATTGCCTGGTTGCCATAGAGCTTGTACAGCAAAGTGAATCTTACTAATCAATTTTACTTCTTTTTCTCCATCCCCTAGTCTTAATTTTAAAGACCCTGAAGCAGTCAGAGCTCTGACTTGTACTCTCCTGAGGGAAGATTTTGGACTTTCTATTGATATTCCATTGGAGAGACTAATTCCCACAGTTCCCTTGAGGCTCAACTATATTCATTGGGTGGAAGATCTGATTGGTCACCAGGACTCTGACAAAAGTACTCTGCGAAGAGGAATTGACATAGGTATATAGTTTTAAATTCTTTTTTGGCTAACCATAAGTTTCGTAAGTTTTGCAAGGTGAAATTCTTTGTATACTTTTCTGCTGGATATTTGTCATTGTGTGAAATAAGCTGGCCACAGACACAGGTTGAGCATCCTTAATCCAAAAATCTGAAATCCAGAATGCTGCAAAATCTGAAGCTTTTTGAGCTCAAAAGAAATGCTCAATGGGGAGCACTTCCCAAGGCAACTTGGAAGAGTTTCCCGGGCAGGAAAAAAAAAAAAAAGGAAAAAAAGAAAAGAAATGCTCAGTGAAATTTTTCAGATTTCATATTTTCAGATTAGCGATGCTCATCCAGTAAGTATAATGCAAATATTCCAAAATCCAAAAAAAAATCCAAAATCCAAAACACTTCTGGTCCCAAGTAAGCATTTTGGATTAAGGGATCCTCAGCCTGTATTACTGTTGTTATTTGCTACACCTGGGCTTTTCTGCCATTATTTTCTCTTGAAAAAGGGTTGTCAGCTCCAAACAGGGAGCAAGAGGATAGGAGAGAAATGAAAGTGAGGCTTTTGTTCACTTAGCTATTCAGATTACCACATTGATGTCTGTGTCTATTGGGCATTATTTTTACTCTGAATTATTTGATGTTAGTATAGTTCCTCTTATTGGGATTTTTCTTTTCTTTTCCTTTTTTTTTGAGACAGTCTTGCTCTGTCACCTGGGCTAAAAGTACAGTGGCATCATAATAGGTCACTGCAACCTCAAACTCCTGGGCACAAGTGATCTTCCTGCCTCAGCCTCCCAAGTAGCTGGGAATAACAGGCACACGCCACCACGCCCAGCTAATTTTTCTGTTTTTAGTAGAGACAGAGTCTTGCTCTTGATCAGGCTGGTGTCAAACTCCTGGCCTCAAGCTATCCTCCCACCTCAGCCTCCCAAAGTGCTAGGATTACAGGCATGAACTACCTAGCCCAGCCTCTTCCTGGGATTTGGGGTGAATGGCCATTTAATAAAAGATCATGTGGGCCTGAATACTTTTAGGACTCTCTTTGGTTATTTGTAGAGGGCGTTTAATCCAAGATTAAAGGGAGGAAAAGTCATTGAGTTAAAGAAAGTTGTTCTCTTAATTGCAAGCTTTTACAATGGAAGACTGTCCGGTTTGGTTTATTTGGTTAAACAGAGATACAGACAGAGATGAAGCCCAGGGTATGTTTTAATTATAAATATATGTTTGTTATAGCCAATATTTTCATTTGATAGGGTTTAAAAATTTAGTCTTTTGACCTTTACTAGTCTTATAGCAAAGATTGAAGTAACAGCTCTGCAACTGTATTTCTAAATATCATATCGTTAATAGCAATCACAATTTCTAGATAATAGTAAATGTTTAACTTTGACATTTGCACGCATTTTCAGGGAACATTATCAATCTTCACCTTACGTGACCTTTTCAGCAGCATTTATTGACTCCTCTTCTCTCTTTGTGCATTCCACTTTTCCATTTCATTTCTATTCACTCCTCTGTTTTCAGGCCTACCTTCTTGTCCCTGACCATTAGATTTTGATAGTCTTTACTTGAGGCTCAGTCTTTAGCCGTTTTTTCATTCAGCACCCCACCCTAGGCAATTCCTTTCACTTTTATGACTTTATTTCCCACCTCTATGCAGCTAAGTCACATATTTATTATATTCCTTCAACTCAGATTACTTTTCTTGACCTCTAGTCTCACATATAGAAGAAACCTGGGTATCTGAAAAACATCTCAGACTTGCCATGTCCAAGACCAAACTCATACTTTCTTCCTAATCTTGGTTGTCTTCTTTTGTTTCTTATTTCAGGGAATCTACCACAGTCCACCCTGTCATCCTTGACACTTCCCTGCATTCTCACTGAAAGTGTCTATCACTATTTCCTGTTGATTTTTTCTCTTAAAGATTTCTTAAGTCATCTACTTCTCTCCATCTCCACTGCTAACTATCCCAGTCCAAATCACCATTGTCTCTCACCTTGTCTACAGGATAGATTCTCAACTAGTCTCCTTAAAAAGCTTTACAGCCAGCCAGACATCATGGTTGACTCCTGGAATCCTAACACTTTGGCAGGCCGAGGTGAGAAAATTGCTTGAGGCCAGGAGTTTGAGACTGGCCTGAGCAACATAGCGAGACCCTGTCTCTACAGAAAATAGAAAAATTAGCCAGGCGTGGTGGTGCACACCTGTACTCCCAGCTATAGAATTGCTTGAGCCCAGGTATTTGAGGTTGCAGCAAGATCTGATGATGCCACTGAACTCCAGTCTGGGCAACAGAGCAAGACCCTGTCTCAAAAAAAAAAAAAAAAAGCTTGACAGCCTATTTGGTCCTAATTTGATTTTAATTATGCCCCAAACCCTCTAAAATCGCACTTGGGGATGTAGAAGGTTAATGGATTTTAGTTCTTCACAAGGGGCACTGCTTACTGAAATCATATTCATTCTAATTAGAGTTTTTTTATAAATTCTTCCCCCAGACTCCATCAGTTTGCTCTAATTCTATGATTATATACTTTCCATTTTTATTTATCATTACAAAGAAGATTACCTATTAAAAAATGTCATTCGACTTTCTAAGGGGATTCTGTTCTGTCCTATAAAGGATTAGTAAAGAATCTTGTTGCGTGCTATTAGAAGGCAAGTCTTTGGTCTTGAGAATTGAGAAACTTTTTTTTGGCAGAGGACAGGTCTTTTACCTACATTTATTACCCTGGAGATACGTGACTTTTTTTTTTTTTTAAATGAAATTGAAGTATGAAGACAGAAACAGTTATGTGAAAGTCAAGGGCCTAGGACCTGGTCTGGAATTTTTTCCCCTGCGGAGCTGAAAATTTTCACTACAACTGAAATTTTCTCATTCTCAGTGACTGTGGATCACCAGAATGGCTAGCAGGAGCTAAATAATTGTAGCTTCTGAGAGGAGCTTGAGTATCCTTTACCACCCCTTCCTAGGTGTTTGCCTAGGATCATCAAGGCCAAGATACTCTTGGGCAAACATGGTAGGCAGTGCACCCATCACTGTGACTGTCAAAGAGCTTACCTGTTCCTGCCATCAGTTGTCCTGTCTTTTACTGGCCTATTCAGAATACCTAATGAGGAAGCAGTATGATGAGCCTGAATTTCCTCTGCATTAGGAGTATCTGCAGCCTTTACCTCTTCCTGCCAAATCCTTAGAAGACTAGACTAGAACTGGGAAGTGGTCAGGGGAAAACAGGCCTAGAATGGCTGGTATAGGCTGACTACTGTAGCCTTTGGGAAAAGCACTGGCTTTCCTGCTCTTGAATATACTTTTTAGAATCTAATTGGCCAAGTTCAGTCACCATTGTATTATAAAAGCAATATTTGTGGTTAATATATAGGCCAGTCAAGGGCTAGGGGTTCTGCATACAAGTTTCGGACCAAACTCTTCTTGTCAAAGGATGATTTTTTTTGCCTGGAGTGTTTCGCCTCTGAAAATCTCCCTTGAAACTATGGTGGGGCTAGACAGTGACTCTGTTGTTTTGGCCCCAAATCGAATATCTTTTCATGTTTCTACATCTAAGAAACTAGGTCTCTCTTCAGTTTTGTTTTGTTTTTTACTTCTGGTTTCTTTCAAGTGATAACTTACAGAAATGTAGGGAGTTGGGCAGTTAAACATTGTAAAAATTTTATATCTGATGTATTTTCTGCTTTTGGAGAATGGGAAGTACATTGATCTGTTTTAAGTTATTATTGTGGTGTTTTACCAAATAGCATTGATTTCTTTTAAGAAAATTTAGTTTTGTATGAGATTTAAAATGAAGACCTTTATAAAGTAAATCAAATTGGGTTTTGACCATTTTAGGTTACTCATGTATTCCTTGACCTCCAAATATATGTGCTTCATTTTATGTAGAACATACAAAAGAGGACAGCAAGGTTTCTGTCCTCTAGGAAGTTCAAGTCTAATTATGAGGTAAGACCAACATATATGAAATGACTAGAGAACCCAGTAGCCACAGTATATATGAAATCAGGTTCTAGCTTGTGATTTAAGCTGTTAATGCTGTAAGAATTCTGAGAAGAGAAGAACGATGTTTTCGTTATTATTCTCACCTTTCCCTCTGGTGTGTGGAATGTGTTTTGAATTTTCATTTTACTAGGTACGGGGGCATCCTGCATCTATCCTTTACTTGGAGCAACCTTAAATGGCTGGTATTTCCTTGCAACAGAAGTGGATGACATGTGTTTCAACTATGCAAAGAAAAATGTGGAACAGAATAACCTATCTGATCTCATAAAAGGTTAGCTCAACAGAATAAATATCCCTTTCAAGCTTTGTTTATTAACCTGTCTTTCTAATTGAACACATCTCATTATCTTTTCCTTTAATAATCCAGACGTTGGTAATTTTTAAAAATCTGGCACATTGTGATTGGCTTTACTGTTTTGATACCAGAATTAACTCAGAAAGAAAATAGTAACTATAGTTGATCCTCATTATTTGTGGATTCTGTGTTTGTGAATTTGCCTACTTGCTGAAACTTACTTATTCGTTCATTCATTTTAGTAGATTTTCTTGAATAAATGTTTCTTTATTTGCTGTGTGCCCTTAGGACCATTTCCAGAGACTTTAAGTAATTGTTTTTTGTTTGTATATTTTAATAGACTTCATTTTTTAGGGCAGTTTTAGGTTCACAGCAAAGTTGAGTAGAAGGTTCAGCAATTCCTGTATATGCCCCAGCTCCCACACGTGCATAGCCTCCCCCACTTATCAACATCCCCCGCCAGAGTGGGACATGTGTTACAATTGATGCACTTACATTGACACATCATCACCCAAAGTCCATAGCTTACATTAGGGTTCATTCTTGGTGTTGTGCATTCTGTGGTTTTGGGCAAATGAAAATGACCTGTCTCTATCATTACAGCAGTATATACAGAATAGTTTCACTGCCCTAAAAATCCTCTGTGCTCCAACTGTTCATCCTTTACTCCCCAAACCCCTCGCAACCACTAATTTTTTTACTGTTTCCGTAGTTTTGCGTTTTCTAGAATGTCGTGTAGTTGAAATCATATAGTATATAACCTTTTCAGATTGGCTTCTTTCACTTAGTAATATTTAAGTTTCCTCCATGCCTTTTCATAGTTTGATAGCTCATTTATGTTTAGCACATTTCTTTTTAATATTTCATTGTCTGAGTGTATCACAGTTTTTATCGATCTACTGAAGAATATCTTGGTTGCTTCCAGGTTTTGGCAATTATGAATAAAGTTGCAATAAACAGCCATGTGCAGGTTTTTATGTGCACATAACTTTTCAATCCTTTTGGGTAAAATACTAAGGAATGTACTTGCTGGATCATATAGTAAGAGTATGTTTAATTTTGTAAGAAACCACCAAACTGTTATCCAAAGTGGCTGAACCATTTTGCATTTCTACCAGCAATTAAAGTTCCTGTTGCTCACATCGTAACCAGCATTTGGTGTTGTCACTTTTCTGAATTTTGACCATTCTAATAGGTTTATAGTGGTATCTCATATGTTTCCTTGATGAAATATGATGTGGAGCATCTTTTCATATACTTATTTGTCATCTGTATATCTTTTTTGGTGAGGTGTTTGTCAGGTCTTTGGCCAATTTTTTTTTTTTTTTTAGACAGGGTCTAGCTCTGTTGCTGAGACCAGAGTGCAGTGGTGCAATCGTAGCTCACCGCAGCCTCAAACTCCTGGGCTCCAGCGATCCTCCTGTCTCATCCTCCCAAAGTACTGAGATTAGTATATTTTGGATAACTGTCTTTTTGTTGCTCCATGAATTAATATTAAACATGTTTGCAGACAGGATTTGTCTTAGGAGTTTTGCAGAGCTTTGCCCTGAAGGAATATGTGAACGTGTTGGTTTGCATTTCAAATGCTGTTACACTGGAAGGGCATCTCTGAAAGACAGTAGCGGCTGTATCCCACAAGGCGCTGCGTTTCTCAGACCTAAAGGTTTGGATTTGCTTTGTAAAGCAAAGTGAATCTGTTAAAAACTACAGGATGAGAGCTGACAATGGAGTGCCCCCCAGAACAGACAGCTGCCCGAATGGCTAAAAGCAAAGCTCTTGTTTTAACACCCTAGACTACCTGTCTCCATTCACAATAACCTAATAAATATGGAGCCAACATATCTCTGTTTAACCCCTCTGTTAAGTAGTAAACTTACCTTAGAACTTAGAAGTTAACCTTTGAAAGATTTTGTAACTGTTTGCTCACGTAGATAGAATTAGTTAAAGAATCTGTAGAAGCCTTTTGAAAATCTGTTAACCTGAGAGGAACTACCTGTTGTTAATGTAAATCTGTTACCCCTGGCAATTATTCACTATTCCCTGTAAGTTACCATGTAAGACCTCATTCAGGGCTTTTTGAGACCCACGGAGAAGGTCTAGGCCCCCTGAGATCCCGCTTTGCCTATAATCTTCATAAACTTATAAAACCATATCTTTGTCTCTGTGTATTCTTTTATTTCTTCCATTTTCCATTTTTCTGTATTATTTTCTTATCCCTTGCAACTCTACCAAAGGGACCCGGTTTTTTGCTGGGAGCTTAGCTACCTCCCCGCATCTTTTATCTGATAAGTCTTGCAAACATTTCCTTCTAGTCTGTGACTTGCCTTTTTATTCTATTGACAGTGCCTTTCACAGAGCAAAAATTTTTAATTTTAATAAGTCCAGCTTATTCTTTCTTTCATGGATTCAGCCTTTAGTATTGTATCTAAAAAGTCATTACTATATCCAAGGTCATCTAGATGTTATACTGTGTTATCTTCTAGGGGTTGCATTTTATATTTTATTGTGATAGATTTTGAGTTAATATTTTTGAAGAGTGTAAGGTGTATGTCTAGATTCATTTTTTCCATGTGGATGTCCAGGTAATGTTCCAGCACCATTTGTTGGAAAGACTGTATAGCTGCATTGATTTGCCTTTGCTCCTTTGTCAAAAATCAGTTGACTGTATTTTTTTTTTTTTTTTTTTTTTTTTTTTGAGACAGAGTCTCACTCTGTTGCCCGGGCTAGAGTGAGTGCTGTGGCGTCAGCCTAGCTCACAGCAACCTCACACTCCTGGGCTCAAGCGATCCTACTGCCTCAGCCTCCCAAGTAGCTGGGACTACAGGCATGCGCCACCATGCCCGACTAATTTTTTCTATATATTTTTAGTTGTCCAATTAATTTCTTTCTATTTTTTTAGTAGAGACAGGGTCTTGCTCTTGCTCAGGCTGGTTTCGAACTCCTGAGCTCAAACAATCTGCCCGCCTCGGCCTCCCAGAGAGCTAGGATTACAGGCGTGAGCCACCGCGCCTGGCCCGAGTTGACTGTATTTATGGGGATTTTTTTCTGGGCTCTCTATTCTGTTCCATTGATCTGTTCTTTTAGCAGTACCATACTGTTTTGATCTTTCATGGTAAATCTTGAAATTGGGTAGTGTCAGCCCTTTAACTTTGTTCTTTTCTTTCAATTTTGTGTTGGCTATTCTGGGTCTTTTGCTTCTTCATATAAACTTTATTTTTATTTTATTTAATTAATTTATTTTTTGAGACAGAGTTTCACTTTGCCACCTAGGTTAGAATGCAGTGGCATCATCTTAGCTCACTGCAACCTCCCAAACTCCCGGGCTCAAGCAGTCCTCCTGTGTCAGCCTCCTGATTAACTAGGACTACAAGGTGCATGCCACCATGCCCAGACCTCTCCATATAAACTTTAGAATTAGTTTGTCAATAGTTAAAATTTATTTTTAACCCCAAAATCAATATTCATGGTGCCTTTATGGTCACTCACAGACATGTGCAGAGTGGCAAATAATTTGAGTCACCCAATGTGCTTGTTCCCAGCTGAGGTTGAACAAGGTGATACTCTGCCTTCTTATTTCAGTTCTCATACTGTGAACCACTGTCCTTTCTGTGGTCTATTAAGTGCCATGTTTTCTGCATTTTTGTATTTTTTCTTGATGATTTTGCTGTTTAAAATAGCCCCTAAACAGTGCTATCTCGTGTTCCTAAATGCAAGGAGGCTGTGATGTGCCTAACAGAGAAAACACATGTATTAGATAAGCTTCATTAAGAAGTGAATTATAGTGTGTTGGCCATGAATCCAGTGTTAATGAATGAGCAATGTATGTTAAATAAGATGTCTTTAAATAGAAACACACACAAGATAAGGTTGTGTATCTATCAGTTGATGAAAATGTTATGATCAGAGCCTTGTAGGAACTTACCTTTGTATTTCCCCTAGGAGCCAGAGGTTCAGTATTCATTTGCTAATTCAGTATTTGTGGCAACTTTATAGAATATACCTAGTGTGAGTAATGAGAATTGATTGTATATGAAGTAACCCAGTCACCAAGATTTTAAAAGAAAGGGGCCAGATGTGGTGACTCACACCTGTAATCCCAGCACTTTGGGAGGCCGAGGTGAGAGGATTATTTGAGACTAGCCTTGTTAATATAGCAAGACCCATCTGTACTAAAAATTTTTTAAAAATCAGCTGGGTGTGGTGGTGCATGCCTGTAGTCCCAGCTACTTGAGAGGCTAAGGTGGGAGGATTACCTGAGCCTAGGAGTTCGAGGCTGTAGTGAGCTATGATTGTGCCACTGCACTCCAGCCTGGGCAAGTGAGACCCTGTCTATTTAAAATAAAAAAGGGGTGAGGAAAGGAAACCCTACTGTTGATTAAGTGTACCATCTTTTTAAATTTTGGTACATGGAGCTTGGAACTGTCAGAAATAGTCAAATCCCCTTATGAGCAGTTACTTTTTATTTTTGTATCCATTTTATGTATGAAGTGCTGTTAATTTTTTCATTAAAGTGATTTTTGTGTCTTTTTATGAAAGAAATAAGGTTTTTCTAAGTGTTAAACATATCAATATAAAGGAGGCTACTAATATTTTTAATGCATTTGTTTTATTTCTTCATTGCTGTGTAACAAATTACTCCAAAATGTAGCAGCTTTAACAGTAAATATTCGTTATCTCATAGTTTCTATGGGTTAGGAATTGGGGTGTGGCTTAGTTGGGTGGTTCTGGTTCAGTGTCTTGAAACGTTTGTGGTCAAGTTGTTGGCTAGAACTGCGGTCAGCCAGAGGATTGACTGGTGATAGAGATTTGCATCCAAGGTGGCTCACTTACATGGCTGTTGGAAAGAAATCCCAGTTCATTGCCATGCGGATGTCTCCATGGAGCTATTTACGTGTCCTTAAAACATATCAATCAGCCTCTCCTAGAGCAATTCAGGAGAAAGGGCAAGGAGGAAGCCATATTGCTTCCTATGACTTGGGACTCCCTGTCACTTCCATTATATTCTGTTTAATAAAGCTGAGTCACTAAGTGTAGCCTATACTTTCAAGGAGAGGGAAATTAAACTCCACCTCTTGAAGGGAGTAGTGCCAAAGAATTTGTGGCATACAGTCACACATTGCTTCATGACAGGGATATATTCTGGGAAATGTGTCATTAGGCGATTTTGTTGTCCTGTGAACATCATGGAACGTACATACACAAACCTAAATGGTATAGCCTGCTACACACCTAGGCTATATGGTATAGCTTATTCGCTCCTAGGCTTTCTGCACAGCATCTTACTGTACTGAGTAACACAATGGTAAGTATCTGTGTATCTAAACATAGAAAAGGTAGAGTAAAACTATGATATTATGATCTTATGGACCGCTGTCATATATGCAGTCCTTTTTTTTGAGATGGAGTCTCACTCTGTCACCCAGCCTGGAGTACAATGGCATGATCATAGCTCACTGCAGCCTTGAATTCCTGGACGTAAGCAGTCCTCTTGCCTCAGCCTCCCAAGCAGCGGGGACTACAGGCATGCGCCACCATGGTGCAATCATAGCTCACTACTTTAAAAACAATTTGTTTTTAGAGAGGGAATCTCACTGTGCTGCCCAGGCTTGTCTCAAACTCTAGGCCTCAAGTGATGCTCCTGCCTCAGCTTCCCAAGTTACTGGGATTATAGGCATGAGCCACTGCACCCAGCGTTGCAGTCCATTGTTGACCAAAACATCATTATGCAGAACATGACTATATTTTAAAACCACCACAACCTTAATTGTAGTTAACAGTTTGTATTTTTTCCCCTAGTGGTGAAAGTGCCACAGAAGACACTCCTGATGGATGCTCTTAAAGAAGAATCTGAGATAATCTATGACTTTTGCATGTGCAACCCTCCCTTTTTTGCCAATCAATTGGAAGCCAAGGTAAAATGTCTTCTGCTTTAAAGTAATTGAATACTTACCTAAATTTTCCTTGTTTGCAGAAATAAGAGCAAAGAGCAGCTTTTATTTTCTTAATTAAATTTTTTTTGAGACAACGTCTTGCTCTATTGCTCAGGCAGGCCTCAAGCAATCATTGCACTTCAGCTTCCCAAGTAGCTGGGACTACAGGCGTGTGCCACTGCAGCCGGCTTTTGGAAGCTGTATCAATTAGGATGGTTTGAGGTACATTTGGCCCTCCATATCTGTGGATTTTGCATCTGCAGGTTCTGTCTGTGGATTCAACCAACCACAGATCAGAAATATTTGGGGAGGGAAAAACCAATGAAAAACAACAATACAATAATAAAAGTACAAATAAAAAAGCAATACAGTGTCACAGCTATTTGCATAGCATTTACATTGTATTAGGTATTATAAATAATCTGGAGATGATTTAAGGTATACAGGAGGATGTGCGTAGGTTATACATGAATACTGTATCATTTTCTATAAGGGATTTGAGCATCTGCAGATTTTAGTATCTGAGCGGGGGAGGGGGTCTTAGAACCAATAAGTTTATTGGCTTGCATATCTGAGAAATCCAGCAATAGTTGGGATTTCAGGAATGATTTGATCAAGGTGTTCACAGTATTAAAAAGGCTCTGGTTTTCTCTTGGCTCTGACCTGGTCCTTGGTTATTTTTGTTCTTAGGCTGGTTTACTTGTGGCACAGTAATATTTAGGGTGTGGGAGGATGAGGAGAGAGCTCTTTTCTTTCCTAAACCATTGAATATTTGATTTTCTTTTGATCAAACCAACTTAGGTCATAGTCCACTCCTGGGCTACACTTCTTGGCTTAGGAAGGAAATCACTGTTTTTACTGCCACCTGTCATTTGATAGTAAATAAATGTCTGGTTTAGTCTTTCCAACTTCAAATGAAAAATGTATTTGCTCTTGAATATGGATAGAGATGCACTGGATAAAAAGAACTAACCTATTAAAAAACTCAGTGCGAGAAAATGTTGTTGACTTAACCTAAGTTTTCTTTCCACTAATGAACCCTTTATTAAAAATAAAAAGTAATATTAATCAGAAGGAAATAAGGGTGTGTGTGTGTGTGTTTAAAACTTTCGAGATAATAAATTGTTTTTAGAATCACTCAGATACTCTAAAATTTAGTACCGTTTATGTGCCTCATAGCAAAATCTAGATGGATTACATTTTTTGGTGGAGGGGGGTGGGCAAAATATTATTAATAATACCAAGATTTCGGATTAGAACATAAAGTGAAGCAAGATTTAGAAGTCTAAATTTTAGTCTTCAGTGCAGATAAATTATCTGAACTAAAATAACCACATCTTGGCGTACAATTTTTTAAAATATTGAGATACAACATATATATTCTGCATAAAAGTATGTGTCACCAGTGTAGACTGGATTTTCCAAAGTGAACAACACTCCTGTGGAGCCAGCATCCAAATGACAAAATAGAACATTACTATCATGGCAATAGAGCTAAGTTCCCAGAGTTGTACAGCCACCCCCACAGCCAATTTTAGAACATTTTCGTCACCCCAAAAAGAAATCCCTTAGCCATTAGCAGTCACTCTCAGCTTCTCCTCAGCATCCTTAGGCCTAGACAACTGTCAGTCTACTTTGTTTCTACGGATTTGCCTGTTACAGACATTTCATATAAATGGAATCATATAATATGTCGTTTTTTGTGACTGGCATCTTTTACTAAGGATAATACATGTTTTCAAGGTTTGTCCATGTTGTAGCATGTATTAGTGTTTCATTTGTTTTTCTTGTCAAGTAATATTCCATAGTATGGATATGTCACATTTCACTTATTATTCATCGGTTGGTAGAATGATATGGGTTGTTTCTACTTTTGGGGTCTTATGAGTAATGCTGCTGTGAGCATTTCTGGACAAGTACTTCTGTGGACATAGGTTTTCATTTCTCTTGGGTATGTATATATTTCTGCTGGGTCATATGGTAACGATACATTTAATTGAGGAATTGCCGGACTTTTCCAAAGTGACTGTGCCATTTTACATTCCTACCAGTAGCCTTTTACGAGAGTTCCACGTCTTCATCAACACTTATCTGTCTTTTTGATTATAGCCATTCTAGTGGGTGTGAAGTGGTATCTCTCTGTGGTTTTGATTAGTATTTCCCTAATGGCTGATGATGTTGAGCGTCTTTTCATGCGCTTATTGATCATTTGTATTTCTTGGAGAAATGCCTATTCAAATCCTTTGTCCATTTTTAAATTGGGCTATTTTTCTTTTTATTATTAAGTTGTAACAATTCTTTATATATCCTAGATACAAGTCTCTTAATAGATAATGATTTGCAAACATTTTGTATAATTCTGTGGGTTGTTTTTTCAATTTCTTGATGGTGTCCCTTGCAGCCCAAAAGTCTTAAATTTTGATGAAGTCCAGTTTACCAATTTTTTCTTTTGTTGCTTATGCTTTTGCTGTCATCGCTGAGAAAACATTGCCTACTTCAAGGTCATGAAGATTCACTCCTGTATTTTCTTCTGAGAGTTTTATAGTTTAAGCTTTTACGTTTATGTCTTTGATGCATTTTGAGTTAACTTTTTTGTATGGTGGGAGATAAGGATAGATTAAATATTTAAATGTAAAAAGCAAAACCACGAAAGTACTAGATGAAAACATAAGTAAATATTTATTTAATCTTTGGGTAGATTTTCTGTGCATGAAACCAAGGCAGAAAGCATAAAGAAAAAGTAACAGACTAGGCTATGTACAAAGGTAAAATTTTTTTGTTTAATCACAAAGATGGAAGGGAAGAGACCTGGGAAGGAATATTGGCCTGAGTACAGTTGTTTAAAATACAATATTGTAGTAGCTATGTGATTTTTAAATCCTAAATCTAGCATAATATTTGGAAAGTAAAATTACATCTAAGCATTCTTATTTAGAGCTGGAGTATATTCAAAGATTTGGTTCTTAAGGTGTAAAAATCTTTCACCAGGGTTCTTTATTGTTTTTCAGGGAGTAAATTCTCGAAATCCTCGAAGACCTCCACCAAGTTCTGTAAATACAGGAGGCATCACAGAGATCATGGCAGAAGGAGGTGAATTAGAGTTTGTCAAAAGGATCATTCATGACAGTTTACAACTTAAAAAAAGATTAAGGTAAGTTGGTTATTACAACATAGGAATATTTACCCCTTGTGTAACTCCAAAAGAAACCATGTCACTCGGAGGAAATGTCATCACAGTGGTCTGAAGAATAAGCAAAGATTGCAAAGGTAGTGGACCCTACAATCTGCAAAGACCCTGTTTCTGAGGGTGCTCTCATGCCTTTAATTGATTTGTGTTTCCTGTAACCATCTCTACTACACAGATAGAAAAGAGGAAAATAACATATGATTGTATTGCTCCCATTAGTGTGGTCCTGTGATGGAACAAAACTGACTCAAATATGGCTTTTGATTAGAAAACAGATGGGTTCAGATATGTCTCATGAACCAGAATAAATATGTTGCCTAGTCCTTGAAGCAATTTATGTTCTTGGAATCAGTCTCCCCAACAGTGACAGATGTGAAGACATTGAGCTGTCAAGAACTTAATGAAGGAAAACTGAGATCACTAACCAGTTCCAGAGGAAGGTTAAGGCTATTCCTTTTAAAAGCTAATTATTTTGGACAACACACCTGTCATTAAGCAGCATAAGGTACTCAAAAACCGCTATTTGTCTCGCTTGACTTCTCACCCTGCCACATGTTGTTGAAGTGATGGATAATGTGGTAGTTTAAAACTAAAAGAGCTTTCAACCCTAGGATTTAGCTTTGGGACATAGGGAGGATTTTTTTTTTTTTTATTGTGGTAAATATACATAAAATTTACCATCTAAATTTTTTAAATGTGCAGTTTAGTAAATAGTGTTAATAAATACATTCATGTTGTGCAATCTCCGGAACTCTTCATTTTGCAAAACTATAACTTCATACCTGTTAAACAATTCCCCATTCTCCTCCTCCCCTAGCCTGTGGCAGCCACCATTCTACTTTCTGTCTCTCTAAACCTGACTACTCTAGGTACCTCATATAACTGTAATCATACAGTATTTGTCCTTTTGTGAGTGGCTTATTTCACTTAGCATAATGTTTTCAAGGTTCATCCATGTTGCAGCATGTATCAGGATTTCCTTCCTTTTTAAGGCTGAATAATATTAATAGTCTGTGTGTATACACCACATTTTGCTTATCCGTTCATTCATTGATGGGCACTTAGGTTGCTTCTACCCTTTGGCTGTTGCGAAGAATGCTGTTTGAACATTGATGTATAATATAAATATCTCCTTGAGACCCTGCTTGCAATTTTTTCGGATGTATACCCAAAAGTGGAATTACTGGATAGGGAAGAATCTTCCCCCCGCCCCTTTTTTTTTTGATTTATAGATGTTTATACCTGCTTATTTTAGTAAAAGGCCAATTCCCAAATCAACAATTATCCTGGTTTGTTAAATGTAAGTTTATTTAAGTATTTGTGGAGAGCAGCTTAATTTATTGGATGATCTGCCTCTCAGAAAAGTTACACATTGCTAAAGCCAAAGGTTAATGCATCTTGCTTTAAATTGATTTCTTCAAAGACATATTAGAGTCTCTTGAAGAAGAAAGAAACTAAAGAACCTTGAGGGCCGGGTGCGGTGGCTCACGCCTGTAATCCTAGCACTCTGGGAGGCCTAGGCGGTTGGGTCGCCCAAGGTCAGGAGTTCAAGACCAGCCTGAAAAAGAGCGAGACCCCGTCTCTACTAAAAAATAGAAAGAAATGATCTGGACAACTAAAAATGTATATGTATATAGAAAAAATAGCCGGGCATGGTGGCGCATGCCTGTAGTCCCAGCTACTCGGGAGGCTGAGGCAGGAGGATAGTTTGAGCCCAGGAGTCTGAGGTTGCTGTGAGCGAGGCTGACCCCACGGCACTCTAGCCCAGGCAACAGAGCCAGACTCTGTCTCAAAAAAAAAAAAAAAAAAAACTTGAGAAGAGTCTGAGTTAGTAAAATAAAGTTGAAGAATATAATAGCACTGAAACTCATGAAAAAAGGTAACCAGTCATGTGACCATTTCATTATCTCTTGGCTTTCATGGGAACTATAGTTGGCTCTTCTAGGCTGCAATATTCTTTTTTTTTTTTTTTTTGAGACAGAGTCTCACTCTTTT